CTTAGGATATGTTTACCCTACGTGTGCGTGTGTGTGTGTGTGTGTGTGCGTGCAAAAATTTTTTATGGAAACAAGGTGGTTTTCGTAGACTCCCATGCACGCTCACCTGGACAGTGTGACAGGCTGCCTTTAGTGAGCTAGTTCCCTGCCCGTCCCCTCAGGGTTGCTGGGGAAGTGCATACGGATGGAAGACAAGTGGGTGACACCAGTGGATTTTTTGAAAGAGGACCCAACATTAGGTGACATCGATTGGATGAGCAGGATCCTGTGTTTGGGAGTGCCCCTCAGCGACCTCCTCAAGGTGCGTCGGATGGAGAATGACCCCGGGTGGGACAGGGAAGCCTGGTGTGAAGACACTTTGGCTTTGTGCTCTTCCCATATTTCATGGGCTTTTTTGTTTGGTTGCTTTGAGATGTTGTCTATAAGCTAGAGGTGACATAGATGCAGAGGTGTAAAGTAACAAAATACAAATACTTTGTCACTGTATTTAAATAGGTTTTTACTAGATTTTTATTTTACTTGAGTATTTCAAACTGTTGCAGCTTTTTATATTCTTTATTTTGACTCTGTCTTGCCTCAGATATAGAGAACTCGAGGTTTTATTTCAAGATCAGCCAAGACCACTCATCAAAACGTCTCAGTATTAATTACATCTTAATATTCATCTGTTAGTTATTCCAGAGATCCCAACAAATACAAAATGTGTGGATTTTCACACCCATTAATCTCAGACTCATAACTTTTGATAGGTATAATGCACAGACATGAATCGCATATCTTTGCAATCGAGAGAACTTACTCGATCCGGTTATATTTTAAACATTTCCCACGAAAAAGCACCCCTAATAATCCATAAAACATTGTTATTATTCACATTAGACGAAAAACAGGGCATTTTCACTTCCACAATCATCCACACACTACCCTTCTGGGAAGAAAATATTGGTAACACTTGAAGCAGTCATATTGCATTATACATACCTTCATAATGAATTATAATACATTCATAAAGTTTTATAAACACGGCTATAGCCATAAGACATTATACTCGTGTATTATGTGAAGGTCTCATCTATAATGCATTATAAATACCTTCATAATACAGCATATTCATAATACTGACCGTTATTAATCATTATGAAGGTATTCTGACTGACGTTTACATACATTGATACCTTTGCATTTTTGAGTCCAAATACAGTTCCTGCTCCTTTGCCATATCACATGGTTCAGTTGGTGAGTGTTATCCTGTCAGACCAAACACTAAGGCCTTGCCTGTCTGTCTGTCTGTCTGCCTACAGAAAAAGGTCCTGCACTTTCACCAACTCCAGTGTGATTGCAGACTGTGCACCAGTAAAGCTCAGACCTTGGTGAGAAGCTTTGTGGCTCTGAGGTCACTGCCGTGGCGACACCACCCCTGTACTCCATCTGGCACAGAAAGCCTTTTCCCACTCAGCTGTGAAACCTTTTAATACTCCTGTTAAAGTGAGGTGCAGATGCTCACCTGGAGTAAAGCAACATGCAGTTAGAGCGTAGTATACCTTACATTTTTGCTGTTTTTGGTTATGGTTAAGGTTAAGGTCACATAATTGTAACTGTTTATTGGAAATTGGAAACTGTTTATCATGGAGCATTAAGGTTCATTACTGACTGGAGATCTTATATGCATCATTATATTTGCATTTTCCAGTGTTATGTTTTCATTTATTAGAACATTTCAGATAAATGTTATTTGTCTGCTTTAATGCCCCAGAAAGATCTTAAGATAAATATTTCATGCTATCTTATTATTAGATGTGAGTCTTTTATGCGTTCGTTGTCTGAAACGATTTTTATTTCTCCCTATCACTTGGTGGGACTAACCTGGTTAAATTAAGGTCAAATAAGTTTAACAAAAAATTTAAATCTGCTTTTTATCTTCTATTTCTTTGTCTTTCCCTGTCACTTCTCCCCACATGCCACAATACATGTAGCAGGACCAAAACAATGACGATGACTGCTTCATATGCGATGTGCCGGGCTGCCTGCTGTGCTGTGATCAGTGTCCGCGTGCCTTCCACTTTGAGTGCCACGTCCCTGCTGTGAATAGAACTGTGGAGTGAGAACCCCTACTGACCATTAACTATTCTACATGAGAGGGAGACAATGCAAAGCAGTTAATGAACACATATTTGGGTACCTGGGCCAAATAGTTCAAACAAGCCCATGGTTTTGTTATAGGATTCATTTCTTTGGATCTTGTCCTAAATCCATATGTACTGTCATTGCTGCACAATTTTAGGGACTGTGGTCACATGACTCCCACAGACAATGAGTAACAGGCACATTAAAAATCAGGTGTCGTCGATGAGGCACCTCGGTGCAAACAAACGTGGGGTTTCTGTGTGAGTAACTGACCTTGCTCTCCAGTTACAGGGACAAGTGGATTTGCACTTACTGCGTGCTGAAGAATACTCAAGGTTGGCGCCACCCCTGCAAAATGACACTCCAGATTGCGCTGGAGAGCCCTATTTCAGCTCGCCTACTGGTGAGTGCAAACAGCTTTACTGCCCCATTGCTAAGCTAACCACTCAAAAACAAGGGCTGCATATCAACAGACGTAGGTCACTGACAGCATACTCCAACCTTACCGTAGTTCAGGCCATGACAGTTTCGCTTTTTATATTTGTTGCCTTGGCGATACCTTTAATTGGCCCTGATACTTTTCTAGGACTGCCAGTACCTCCTGTTGTGTCTGTACAAGGAGGACAGGGAAAAGGTCTTCAAAAGTGACTCCCAGCGCTTGGTGAGTGTGTTGGACATTTTTCATGCCCCTGTCTGTGCTTGTGTGGGTTTTCTTGGGTGGGATTAAAGTATGTGCACACTTAAGACTACCGGTGTGCACGGCAGGCAAGTTCAAAAGTCCAGGAGCCAATGTGGCTCGACAAGATTGCGGAGAAGCTGCAAAGCAAGTCCTACTCCACTGTGGGGCAGTTCTTCTCAGATGTCCACCTGATGTTTCGAAACCAGGTAAGATGGAGAAGTCTTGGCATAGAATTAAAACTCAGCAGATAAACACAGAAAGTTGTGAAAACAGAGGGTGTATGTCACAAACATAAAATAGTTTAATTCTGGTGTAATTATTGATCTCTGGTTAAAGGTAAAAGGATAAATATTTAAATATAAATTGTGCTTCCATTTTTCTTTTTGGTGACACTTAAAGTTTATGTTGTTCTAAATTTAGAAATTTTTCTTCTTCCTCAGGGGAAATGTTTTGCGAAGCTGGGCACCAAACTCACCAGCTTGTTTGAAGAGGAATTTAGGAAAGTCTTCTTCATACACCCTTAACCTCAGATACTGTACTTGTTGTGTCTAAGTATATCTCTGTTGTAAGACTAAATGTGGAAACTTAAAGCATTTGGAAAATATGACGATGTATTACAGGCCAGACTACTCTGGATGCAGGGGTGGAAAGTAACAGTAAAAAGCATTTTTTTCTCTTACTTAAGTAGTATGTCAGTGGATGACTTTTACTTGAGTAACATTTGGTGTGGTATCTTACTTTACCATGAGTATGTAAATTGAGTACTTTTTCCACCATTGCCTGGAAGTAAAAGTACTTATAGAAAAGTGGTTGTCACATCTGATGCAGATTTAAAATTGGAATCTGCAAATGACATGCCAGGTGAGATAAAGACTACAATACAGGTGGCTACAAGGCCCAGGGTGAGTAATTTAACTTCCAGTTCAATATTTGATTACTTGCTCATTCGAAGTTGTTTTAAATGCATTCTACTTTGATAATTATGCTTACGGTTGTGGTAAACTTAATAGCACTGTATCTGTAAAACAATATTTTATCTGTCAGCTAACCTGCAAACATATCAACTGCCTGCTTTTATATAATCAGACAATCAACTTTTGCTGTAAAAGATTATCACTATAAGGATACTCTCAGAAAGCAGAATGACATGAAATGCTTGTATTATCTTATGCCTTTAAAATTTAAAGCTGAATTTCACAACTGCTGTGTTCAATTTTTTGTCTCTCCCTTAACGATAAGAATGTTTTAATGGTTGTTTCATAAATAATGAGAAGTGATAAAGTTTAAGATGATAAGTTTCAAACAACCCATTAAGCTTTCACCAACTGCAATCCCATTCAATGTATACATAATCAATGATATAGATATATGCGGATCTAATCTTGATACCTGAACTCTGAATGCAGCTTGTAGGCAAGCATTATTTTTTATTACTATTAGGTTTTTGCATTCTCCATAGCTCAATCAATCAGAGCCTCTTGCCACTCATTACAAGAATTTAGGAAGAAAGCGTAGCATAACGTAAAATACGTTATTTAAAAGTCGTGTCCGTTTGTGGAGCGTCTTCAGATATCCAACTTTCATTTACAAAATGGCCGGTTTGAGTTACATGACTATATATTTTTTTACATTTGGATAGGGCTATAGTTTTATGTAGACACCATAGTGACTAAAATGCAAGAGAATGTAAAAAATACGCGCATGCTGTTTGCCAGGTGGCAACGCCAGCCCATCTGCGCCGCTGCTTCAACGTCTGCGCCACGCTGATGCAGGCCCTGCGTATTACGTCAGCGCACAGGCCATCAGCCAATCCCTGCCCAGAAATGCGCAGCACTGTTGCGCAGACGCGCTCGTCAAAGAGCGCAGCCATTACTGCGCGAATAACCCAGGCGGTCGCTTATGTAAACTGCACAGCAATACTTGAACAACAGTGTTTTGCAGAGTGAAAAACTAAAATTCAATGAGTCGGGGGGCATGGAAAAAGTTCGGATGCGCCGGATGGGTGTAAAAAGAACACTACCGCACATACAAGATAAATCCAACCGGGAAAGCTACCTTCATGACATATAAAACGGCAGTACCAACTCTCCTAAACGTAAAAGGGAGAAAAGTACTGCAGTAAACGGGAATGAACGGCAGCCCGAGCAGTGACTCGTTCCTAAGCGGGAGCGAACTATCGCGGTCGCGCACTGGTGAAGACGTCTTTGAATCCACGGACACTCCTGGCAGCGCATCGCAGGCGGCCCATGCGCTACAGACAGCGCAGACGGCCGATGCTGCCGCTCCCATCATCCTCTGTGAGTCGCGCTGCCTTCCCTCGCCTTGTCCCAGAACAATACACTGATATCGACTCTAGGTGTTCAAATAACGGCAGATTAATTGTTGTCCACACGTGCAATTTGTATGATGTAATTCGGCTTGACATTTTTGCTAGATCTTGTATGTAAGCAAACCAATTGATCGTTGAGAGGTTCCTTGTCGGACAGTATCCAGTACAAGCATGGCAATTCACATGTGAGTGATGTAAATTACAGGGCATCAAGCATTTCATCCTGATGTGGGATTTTCGCCAACCGAAAAAGTCTGGAGGCACAACCAGAAAATATTATATATAATAAAATATAAGTATTTTTTCTCAAATGGAAACATTCACAGATAATTTAAGTGTCTACAACTCTACATTGTTAATTTTATACGTGTTTCTTGCGTGCAGGATTAGTGGTAATATTAATTGCAGTTGTGCCACTTGCCTTTTTAAGCTCATTTCATATTAAACGGACACATGCTTGAACACCTGCACATAATTCAGTCCTTGACATCAAGTTTATACATATAATTTTAATAGTTATTATATCGTAACATTTTCACGATTTCCCGAAGATAAAAATGTTGGGTTTTTTTTGCTGATGTTTGAATTAGACTGACTTTTTCACTGCGCCATGAAAGATCACTTGCGGTCTTCTTTATGATGTAATATTATGACTTTTTAATAAAAACCTACCGTTCTTGATTGTTCCAGGTATTGTACATTTGCGGACAATTATTTTTAAATTTTCTTAATGTTTTGAAACCACGGTGTTTAGCAATTTTTATAAGTTTAAAGGTTTCAAACACAAAAGTATGCCTATCTTGATTAATTTAATGTTTGTCATTACTTAAGTAGCAATTTTAATAATTTTGTTACTCTGCTCATTTGTTGTAAGGATGCACATCTGACATTTTTGGACTTTGAGACTGTATATTATTTAAAACTATTGAAAATATATTCACATTAAAGAGATCGCATACAATAATGTTAGGCATGGTATGTATTTATTAAAAGATTATATATATGTATTAGATTCAGTCAGAAATGTACAAATATGTATGTCATGACATCTCGACATTCACCCACCTGCATGTCCTCACACAGACCCAGTGAGCTCCGACAGGGTTATTTCCACAACCACCTCAGACGGCAAAACCATTTTTAAGATCGCTGCAGGTGAGCCAAGTCCAGCTCTGATTGCTTCTTATCTCGTCGGGTGTCCTCCCAGCTGACACGGGATTTTAAATGTGTTGACCCTGCACACATCCATTAAGATGTCAAGCTAGAAGCTGATATAATTCCTGGATGAGCTTTTGATGCACTACAAGCAAATATGCATTTATGAGCAGAAATTGCACTAAAAACATTTGTAATTGGAAATTGGTGGGTTAGTGTAGCTGAAGGAGGGCTTTCTGCCTGTAGGTCCAGTCCCTACAATGCCAAAGCCACCCCCTGCTGGCAGTGCAGAGAAAATCGCCGCTCCAGAGTTCACCTACCAGGCCATTGTGTTCCTGATTGAGGCTGTGGGCCGGCGCTGGAGGCTATATGGCTCGCGGGAACGTGCCCAGCTCTTCCAGGGCGTGCAGCAGGAGCTGGAGGGCCAGGGATACTGCCTGCCTGTGGAGAGGATCCGCCGCAAATGGAACAACCTCATTGTCACGTATAAGCGCGTTAAGGACAGGAGCCGCGAGACGGGCCAGGCCAAGACATCCTGGGAGTACTATGAGGTATGGGTATGGTGGGCACAGCGAACAGCCATCCTGGGAGTACTATGAGGTATGGGTATGGTGGGCACAGCGAACAGCCATCCTGGGAGTACTATGAGGTATGGGTATGGTGGGCACAGGGAAC